ATCAAATTATTTTAAAAATATAGTTGAACACAATGACAAATAAGATCTTAATATTTTGTTACTGTGAAAATTATTTCGAGAATACCTCAGTAATTATAATTTTTGTAATTATTTTTAAAAAATCTTAAATGCACGCTTTTATATTTACTTGATAAAATAAATTATTACAAATACTAATTTTAATATTCAAACTTGAATTAAAAAGAAAACGAGAAGGCAAATCTTGATGACAGGAAAACTATCTCTTAGAATTATCACCCACAATTCATATTATAAATAATGGGGGTAATTAGATGTCACTATTATTATAAACGTATTTTAGGAGATATATTTACCCATTAAACTTGGTTTTAATTTAATAAGAATAATAGCAATAACAAATAATTCAAATTTGAACCATAGAAAAAATAGTGAAGAAAATAACATGCTGTTGGCTTAAATTTGGTAGGTTTTTGGTATTATGATTTAAGATATTTTTTTAAGATATATTTTATTTAAAAACATATTAAAATATTTTTTTAAAATTCCATGATTTAAGACTAGCAAAGCGATGGCTCACCTAAAATTCTACAGCTATCGTCTACTCCAAATTGTCAAAGAAGGTAAAGTGTGAATTGTGGAAGGACATGGAAAATGTGTTGCAAATTACAGAAGACAGGATAGGGGGGAAGAAGGAGCAGAGAAATTTCCTCAAGTCAATATTACTCCCGTTTGTCAACAGCTCATGGAAAATGAAGGGCAAATTTATTTATTTTTTATATATATTACTTTTAGTACAATTCTATGTGACATAAGGTGTTGTATTCAAGGAAGATAAATAATGTTTTAGTGTGGAACTTTTACCCACACGAGCAGATAAAATTTAAAATAAAACACAAATTAAAATATGGGTTTTTTGAATGTGAAATTAATATTTTCTTTCCTCATTTACTTTTCTAAATTTAGATTTTGGGTTATGAATATATTTGGTAATTTAGTGTCACGTGTTTTATAAAAATATTTTTTATTTTAAAATATATTAAAATAATTTTTTAAAGATTTTTTATTTTTAACTTTAGCATATCAAAACCATTGAAAAACACTAAAAAACATTAATTTAATGTTTTTTTTAAGTCAACATATTTTTAAAATACATTTAAACACAATTGTAAATGCAAAAACAATCGATATTACATATATTGCAAGACTAATTAATTAAAGATCCAAAACCCAATTTAATTCATGACCCTTCTTTTATCTAATTTTGATATCTTAAACTATATTATATCAAAAGAAGCATTCATTTCTACCTTATTAGGTATGTTTTAACTCATCAAAACAACCCTCATAACCATAATGAAAGTGGTTAGGGATTAAAAAAAAGGGTAGGTCAAAAGTAAGTTAGCTTTGACAAATGTTTAGAGAAGCTGTTGACCAATTAGCCTCTTAAGTCTTAAAGCATAATGGAAAGACAAAGAAGCTTGTCCACGCCACCAAAAACAGTTTGCCATGTTAAACACGCAAAGGAGAAGAGAAATAACTATGGAGTCCATCTAACGAAAGACATTTGGAAAAAATGGTCTGAAAGAGAGATGAGAAAGTTTTAGAGAAGCCATAACTGTGTTAGAGCTTGAGATGTGAGTTTGGTAGCTCATGATCTTACAGCAAGTTGACAGATAGAGGATTCTAGAAGTATATGTTCGGTAATTGAATGACAAGTTTCACTTGCGACGATAGCCTTAACAAATAAGAAGGAAGAGTGCTCGAATTAAGTATTCCTTTATTGAACTTCTTTTCTATAATAATAGTGATGATTACATCTTCCTTACCGATAACCTCATTAAATCTTGTTATTGTAAGAAGAGCTAAATGGTATTTGATCCTTAAATTGTTTTTTTGCGCGATTGTGCCCTCTAAGCCTAAATTGCCATTCCAATTGCATTTTTTTAAAAGAGGATTGAATTGAAAGTCAAGTAATCAACGTGAAATATACGGGTAAAATAGATTATGTCTTTTAATTTTATTTGAAAAGTATATTTGAGTCCTTCATCTTTTTTAGTTTTTAGGTGACGAATTCCTCTTATTATAGAAAAAATAATTTCAATCCTAAATTGTTTCTTCCATTATTTTTCAATTCTTATTGAGTGAAAGAAGAGAGAGAATTGTTGAATTCCATTATACAGACAAAAAAATATTGTTTATATGATTACAACTACTAAAATAATAAATTTTTGTTCCAAATAATTTTATATATCAAAGATAGATTGAATTAAATGCATTTATTTATCTGAAAGTGTTTAAAAAATATATCTAACCTCAAGAAGAAATTGGTTTTTGGGTTTTCAAACTTTTTTTTTTGCACTTTTAGAGGCTAATGGTTAGTTTAACAAGCTAAGTGTTTTAAATTGATAATGGGTTGAAAATATATTGTTAGAAAAAAAACAAACCATCTTGATTTTTCAGTTATCATAGCAGCTGAAATCTAGGAATTCCAGATAATACATAGTCTATTTATTTTTTAAACTAAATTAGGATGGAAGACATATCATCTGCTTCTCAAATGAAATCTTGTTTATTTATTTTTTATATTGAATTGGGGTGGAAGACATATCATCCGTTTTATTATCTTACAGAAAAAATTAATAGGCTAGGTGTTTGGCCTGATCTCATTCTTTATATATATATATATATATGTTTGATTTTTCTTTTAAAAGTGAAATTATATTTTTATTGGTCCTTAAAATTATATTTAGACCTATAAAATCAATCAATTTAATTCAAACTAGCTCATACATGATTTAATTAAAAACTTAAATAAAACAAATAAATTTTAAGATTTGAAGATTAACTCATTAAACCAAATTTAATAACACGCTCAAAAAAATTTCATGCTCTTGACATTTTGTTTTTTGCATTTAAAAAAATAAGTTTAATATATGGCGGAGTGAAGGCTAGTCAACTAGTAAAGAAACTAAAAGAGGTAGAGTAATAAACCATCTAGGTGATGGCTAAGTGGTAAAGATTTAGGACTAAGAGGTTTGCTTTTTCTGTGATCTCAGGTTCGAGTCCTTGGTTGCTCATATAATGGTCACTGGAAGCTTACATGATCGTTAACTTCAAGACCCGTGAGATTAATCGTGATATGCATAAACTGGTCCGAACATCCACGTTAATAAAAAAAAAGAAAAGAAGTAGAGTAATAGTAACATGCCACTTTAGTTAATGCTAAACTGCTTTATTTACATTGTAATAGTAGCATGCCACGTAATAGTAGCAGCCCTGGTATGAAAAGGTCTCAATAGAACTCTTGTTTAATGCCATCAGAATCTTTCATGATCTTTAGTTAATGCTATAAGAATCTAAATGTTCTTTATCATACGGTATGCTTCAAATCCCCACTTTTGAGCTATACATTAAACTATATGTCTCACCTCTTATATATTATCTAATACATCAAAATAAAATAAAATTGAGAGACCAACTCACTTTCTTCACCATTCATAATTTTTTATTTTTTTTATTTTCCCCATATTTTTTTTTCATTTATTGTTTTTTAATTTTATTTTTTTAATATTTACTTGATTTTAAAATTGTCTTTATAAATTATTTTGGATTATTTTTTATAAAATTATTATAATTTCATCGGTTGGGTTTATTTTTCTTTTGGGCTTAAACTAGTTTTCTCAGGCCTATGCATTTTGGACTATTATTAGCCGTTTTCTAGTGCTACGAGCCTGTATAGCCATGGAAGAAATGGGGCATTGTATTGCAACCCGTTTGATTATGCTGGTTTAAGATTTTTATTTTGCATAACTTTTGTTTTTACAAAAATGGATATATAATGATATAAAAAATTATGATAGATGTATTGTGGTAATGGAGTTGAAGGTGATGAAGCAATGATGAGGAAGCTGTTTTTGTTGTTGTTGTTGTTAAAATAATTGAATAATATTATAGGTGAACTATGGCATTTAAAATATTTTATAAAATTTTATGTATTTTAAGATATTTTTCAATATATAAAATTTTAAGGTTAAGTATAAAATATTTTATGAAAAAAATTAAATATTTTAAAACATAAAAAATAAAAAATATTTTCTTCGCAAAGCAAACAATCTCCTGAACTTCTTTGTTTTTTTTTTTTTTAAAAAAAGATGAAAATCAAAGGCGCCGCGTACATTCAATATTGTAATATGCTCTAGAATCCAATTATAATTTAATTAGCTAGTTATAGAATTCAATTATGGTCCGTAATTCCTCTATGTATTTTTTTTTTTCGTGATGAAAATAATTGCTTTAGATTGTTGTTTTAACATCCTGATTAAGTTGTATAATAAAATAAGTTACCAATTTTATAAAAAATTAAAAATAAAAGTAAATCATAATAACTCTCTCGAGACATTGTCAAAATTATAGAGATCATTCAAATATCTAATGGTTTGATAGAAAAACCCTTTTATGTTTTTAAAAAATATTACATAACCCTATTTTTGCATATAAAATACCCTTAATAGCTATTTAAAAAAGATAGTTAAATTAAGAACTTAAAAAAATTGGAGAAATAATATATGAAAAATGAAACATATTAATTATTCTTTAGAACATGAAAAATATTAGTTTTACAATTTGATTTCATTAATTTCATTTTGAGTTTTTTTAATATTCTTTTTCTATTTTTTAAAATTTTCAATTAATGGAAGTATTGTTTCCAGACCTAAATAGCAGTAATTAACAGTATTTTGGATATATTAGGTAGTTTTTGTCAAAGTTTGAAATTTTTAGATGATTTCTGTAATTTCAAGATATCTGAAGAGGGTTATTATAATTTATCCTAAAAAGAAAATGTTTATGAAAAAAAAAAAAAGTGTTTCAATAAAGGCATCGTAAGACCAATTTGTAGTTTATACATAGATTATTTCCATTCTCACCTGCAATTATATATTTGGGATATCTCCAGGGAACTTGGAGGAATGACAAGTTGAATAATACAACAATTTTATTAGAAAAACATGTATTTAATACAAGATTTAGAACAAGTCAATTTCCGTTGATGGTCGCAGAACTAAAATGCGCTTCCCATAGAAATGGAGTTTGGCAGATGCAACGGCCAGTTACCATTTCCCATGACACAGCTTTTGGTCGCAGCCTCGTTACAAATGTTCTTGAACTATCCACCTTCCAAACATGGCAAAACATTCTGCAGGCCTGTACGCGGGAGCAGTGTGTCCTCCACCCTACAAATTAGCCAAAGAACGAAGTAAACAGAAAGATGCAGTAAGAATTCTCTGGGCAGTAGAAATGGAAAGTTGACCAATCTCCTTACCTTCACAGTCGCAAATGCCAACTGACTGGAGTAAGTCCTCGTGTATCTGCACGCACTTGCTCAAGTCAAACTCCAGATCACTTATTTTCTCCATTTATTAGGCTCTTTTAGCAGGCAGATTAAGAGCTAGAGAAGAGTTACAGAATTCCAGCAAATTGATCAAAACGAATATTCATTTGAAGAACATACCCTGCAACTTGACCTTGATAGTGCCATGGCTGCCAGTCATCGACAACAGAGTAGTTTAAATATCTTATCCATGCTTGAGTTCCCAAGAATGGTGCCTCCATGTCATGATCGCCACTGTTCAATCAATAGAGTGACAGACTATATCAACCAAACTATATAGTGTCATAGTATGTCGTATGAATAATAATAATAATAGGAAAAAAAACAAGACCAGCAACCTGTAGATTAATCTGCGGTAACCTTTTATCCCAAGGTCTATATGATACTTGATGCTGCTCTTAATTTCATAAGTATAAGGTAATTTATAATTGCATCGTTTCCACTCCTCTATACTTCCCTGCATCAAAACAGGCTTACATTATTCTCTTACTGATTTCTTGCAAGCTAAAACTCTTACTGCTAGTCTCAAACCTCAATCCCATACCTCTCGCACATGGAGTGCTTTGCGGACATTATCGTCATTTGCCCAGTAAGCAGCGAGAACATGTCCGTAAGCCTGTAGGCATCAAGGACAATTTTCAAAATGAGGAAAGGACCAGAAACAAACTGGCATAAATTCATAAAAAAGAACATTATGTTGATTGTCTGTTTCCTCGATGATCTTCTGTCAACATTTCTATATCATAATATTGATATCTTGTGACAAACCGGTTACACAAGTGGAGCTTTAAAGATTATTTTGTCCTGTCTTAACAATTACATTTCTTGTATGCATGAATATTGCATATTAGAGGAAGGGGGAAGGGAATTACACGGCATCCGATGGTAGGAAGATCAGGTTTGAAATGGAGGAGTTCTCGAGGGTTCTCACGGAGATATCTTCTTTTGCCCAACGTCTCTATCAGACGTGGGGCATCACTAGGACACTTGCGTTCCAAAATATGTGCATCTTCAATATCTGAAATGCACTGAGAAAGCGAATGGCTCTACCTGCATTAGCAATGAGTTCTGGGGAAAAACATGAAGGGGATTTCGCTGGATATAAGTTATGGATGAGTACCTTATCAAAAGCCTCTACATTTTTCAGACACTCTGCATTGCTCGGTTTTATCGTTTGATATTCTCCTGCACAACTTTTCTTCAGTGACTGAAACAATTTGTGACACTTGTTAGACATAATTTCAAGCTAGTAAGCAAGGCTCTATAATACCAAGTGGATCACCTCATAGAGTTCATCAGAAATAAGTCCCATTCCATGAGCAAATGGAATCCTCGAGTTAAAATCAAAAGTAGGATCAGTAATAGGGTTCCCAAGTATGTATCCCTGCAAACGTACAAATTAACCACGACTTCCATCAGCACATCTTCCATGCAAGCACAAATTGATAGGTTGAACAAAGAAAATTCATATTCAAGTTTAATTTTAATTGTGTTTATTCTTTAGTTTTACGTTATCAAATATTATTATTAATTTAATTTGTGGATTTAGCTGAAATTTTACAAAGAATTTTTAAACATATTATTCTAAAATAAATTAAAAAATAAGGTTAATTAGAACTAATTTTTTTTTGAGATATAAATTAGAAAATACAATACTAATTTTATTATTTGTTATCTTTCTATTTATAAACATTTTTTTCCCTTGTAATATAAGCATATTCAATAGCTTAATTTTAGAGGTTTTTTTAATTTTATAAAGATTTTTAATAAACCACAACATAAATTTTCAAATATAAAAATAATTTCTTAATATTTCAAAAACTTTTTTCACCATAATTATTTTATCTATCTTGACTACACAGAGAATCAAGAGCTCAAGCATTTAATAGCTTTATTTTATAAATATAAAATTCAGATCAATGACATAATCTTTTTGTACAAATAAGAGAGAGAATAATGGAATATATAATTGGAACCTTGACATTTAGGAGAGGTTCGATACCATCATTGTTCCCTGCAGCCATTAAAAGTCAAGTGAATGACAGCAGGTCCTGTCATTTCGATATCTCAATTAAAAACAAAATTTTATCCTGTCATTTCGATATCTCAAATAAAAACAAAATTTTATCATACCATTAGAAATATTTTGAACAATTGCTGGAACGATCTTGCCAGAGTAGGAGTCACCAGCAATGTAAATTGGATTTGCAAGAAATTCTTGGTGATCCATTAGCCACTATACAATGCAATCAAGAAAAAATAACTAAAATAAATTCACAGATTCTACCCTTCAACCGCAAAACGGACCAGAAAGTTACCTTTCGAAGAAATTGCTCAGCATGCGAAACTTGTTTGAAGTCGCTTCTCTGAAGAGCAAGAGGGGTTCTTGCATAGGAGAATCCAGTGCCGGCAGGCAAATCTAAAAATATTATGCTGGAGACCTGAAATTTAATCACAGACGCAGCCATGCTTAAGAATAATATGGTAGAAAATGCAGCTTCTTATCTGGCAGCTCCTGCCTGGTACAAAAGGCAATATCACCTGTGTCCATGAGTATGGATTCAAAACCAATGTAGGTAAGCTCCCATTGTACTCCTTTACCTCAAAACTTATTGGACCTTCGAATATAAAACATCAGAAATTCATTAAATCTCAATGGTCTGGATAAACTCAATGTACATAGTTACAGTGATCGTCCAAGTGCAGTAATGTATAAGTAATTAAGTGAGCTGCTGGCGCTTCTCATACCGATTTCGAAAACAAGACCACAGAAGGCAGAGCAGCCGGGGCCACCAGTTAGCCAAAGCAAGAGAGGGTCGTCTTTAGGATTCCTCTGGGACTTGATGAAGTAGTAGAAGAGCTGCACATCCTCCGCTTCATCCACTCCAACATACCTGATAACTCCACAAACCCATCATTGCATGATTGTAATTTTGATCAAAATCCATGAGTCGTCTATGAATGTGTATAGAGTAGTAAAATCTGTAAACCAGTAAAGGTGAAGGTCTAAAGCCCACCCTGTTTCAAGGTGGAAGGGAAGGGGCCCCTTCAACCCAGGAAGAAATTTAACAATGGAGCGGGCGGCAGCAAGTTGTAACCAAACCTGTAATAGCAAAAGAAAAGGAAGGCATTGTTTGGCCATTGATTTTGAAGTTGCTGTGTTTGTTTCTATGGTTGAGTTTCAGTTTCGTGTATGGAGCTCTTCTCAAAAAAAAAAAAAAAAAAAAAACTAGTTTTTATGATTGAGATGGCTCAGTTGTATGCATTCAATAACCGCAAGGACAGCCATTAAAACAAACACATTTTCAGACACATTCATATTTAAAATATAGTTTTTTATATATCAGCATTTTAATATGGTTATTTAATGTCTGATCTAAACTTTATTATATTCTCATTCTTTGAGTTAAAGGAATTAATTTTCAAGCTAAACTGGCTAAACCTTTTCTAAATTTAAATTTAAGAGTTAATTCATGTAATTTTAAATTTAGTTGACTTTGTTTATTTTAATATATTTGGAATCTTCCTTCTTTTTTTTCAAGATTGCGTTCACATTTTACATATAAAACTAATGAGATAACTTAAATACTTTCAACTTCAATAATATATATATATATTTAACCTAACTCATCATTTTTAACTTTTAGAAATAAAATTTAATATATCAAGATTTTAATTATTTATTAACAATTTTTTAATTAAAAAAATAACAAAGAAGACATTAATTAGCGGGGGATTCGAACTACTAGTTTTGTTTTAATTTAAAACTAAAATATTTCGATGAGAAATTATAATTATGATATTAAATATTTATTTTATTTTTAAAATCTGAAATGAAACATATAAAAAATTAAAAATAACTAATAACGAGGATTTTAGAATTCGAGGATGTTAAATTTATTTTATTAGTCTTATATGCAAAATATGTGTGAAACTTAAAAAAAAAAATTTAAATGCATCAAAATAGAGGTTAAAAATAAAAAACAAATTCTCATATGATTTTAAATCTGAATTCGAGAACAATGTAGTTAAGCTCCCATTGTATTCCTTTACCTCAAAATTTATTGGACCTATGCATACAAAATACAAGAAATTCATGAAATGTCATTGCTCTTGATAAACTCAATATGCATATATGGTATTTTGGATCAATAGTTGTCCTTTCAATTATTATACTTTGAAATTGAGAAAGTTGCCTTCTAAAATAGCATAATTTTTTTTATTTATGATAATTTTATTGGTGCTTGTGATATTTAAGAATTTTTTGAAAAAAAAAATTAATTTTTTTTTAATTTTTTATATGCTTCAAAAAAGATATCTTGTCCATTTCGTTCAGTTTAGGGCTGATTTTTGTTCGTGAGCTTGTTGTTATGCCTTTGCCATTGTACTCTTGTCTTTAAAAGGGTACCGATCTTGCTTGCTTGGCTCTAGTAGTTTCTAGGGCATGGAATCGTTTTCTACTCGTTTCCATTGTTATGGGCAAGGTGGAGGTGCTCTGGGCACTCGTATGAATCTTCCTGACCCGTTCGCCGGAGTTGTGAAGGTCAGATCTTGGGAGTGTTTGTCTGCATTTGTGCAATAATGCTGTGGTGTTGGTTTACGAGCGGTGATGGCTTGTAACGTCGTGATGTTACCAGGGCTGTCTTGTCAGTATATGAGAAAAGAAAGATGGTGAGCATTTAATGCAGGGGAAGAGTGGATAAGATGTCAGCTCAGGAAAACAAAAGGCGTGGTGGGTGTTGAATTATTTCACGTCACTCAAATCTAAATGACAAGTGTTGAATTATTTGCATTTTTTAATTAAAATAATACTGTCCAATTAAATATATTGCTAGGAAATTATTCAAATGACATATATTTTAATACAACTTGGCACTCATTTTTCTATCGATCTATGTCATTCGGTCGGTCGGTCGGTCGGTCGATCATTCATTATTATTTTTACCTAGTTTGAAAATTGATTTAATCTTACTTGAGACAACCTTGGAGATTTATTTTAATTTTTATTCAAGCAAAGTGGTTTTAATTTTTTTTAAAAAATAATTACTCTAAATATCTTATAGTTTATTTCATTTTATATTTTATTGTTTCAAAAATTACATAAAGTTTTATAAGTTTATAACAATTTACATGGCATTGAAAAAAATCAACAAAAAATATTAAATTATTTATATGTTTGTTATTATATATAATTTAATGACTAAAAAACTCTTATTGCTTTAAAATAATGAAATTATTACTATAAAAAACTCTCTTTTTGTCAAATATGAAATCGTAGCCACCAACGTTAATTCAGCTATATCTTTTTGTACCTAAGCAGCCCAAGTAAATAAATAATCTCACCAGGCTCAACAATCTCTAGTTAAGTACTAGTTATGTAAATGACGTGATGCTGTGGGTTAATTTTTTTATAAAAAAAATAAAAAAATTAAAATTTAAAAATATTAGATTTTTTTATAAAATTTTACTCAAAAATCTTGATTGTAGTTATAACATCTGACCCAAAAATAATATTTATAATAATAATAATAATAATAATAAACTTGCAAAGCCTGTTACTAATGAGAAAAAAGAAAAAATAAATCTGAATCAACTGAGTTAACCCGTCAAATCAGGTTAACCCGTCAAACCTGAGATTCGGGTCATGGAAGTTTGATAACTAAAAAGAAAAAAAAAAAATCAATGGTTCAAACGAAAAAAAATTAACAAACTAAACTAAACAAAAAAAAAATTGATTAAAAAGGAAAAAAACAAAAAAAAAAATTTAGGTTAACTCGTTAAACCAGATTAACACGTCAAACCCGAGATCCATGTCATTAAAGTATGATATCTAAATAAATTTGTTTTTCACATTAACAAACTAAATTAAACAAAAAAAATTCATCAAAAGAAATAGAAAAAAAGTGAACATTAACAACCTAAAATAAATAAAAAAATTAATTAAAAATACAAAAACAAACAAAAGACATAAGCATATTACCAATGAGAAAAAAGAAAAAAAATCTGAAGCGACTAAGTTAACCCATCAAATCAGGTTCACCTGTCAAACCTGAGATTCACGTCATGAAAGTTTGCTAACTAAATAAAAAAAAAATCAATGAGTCAAAAAAAAATTGATTAAAAAGGAAAAAAACAAAACAAAACTCAAGTTAACTCGTCAAATTCGAGATTTGTGTAATAAAAATATGATAACTAAATAAAAAAAATTTCACATTAACAAACTAAATTTAACAAAAAAATTCATTAAAAGAAAAAAAACACAAAGAAAAAAGCAAAAAAAAAAAACCCATATGCAAAACAAAAAAAAAGAAGAAAAATGTTTCGCTGTGCACTATGTGCATAGTGATACATTACATGTAAAAAACAGAAGAAACAAAAGCGAGAAAAAAAAACTACTGCTACAGTGAAAAACCCACGCGTTTTAAAGTTAATTAAAAAAAAACAAAAACAAACAAAAGATATAAGCATATTACCAATGAGAAAAAACAAAAATCTGAATTAACTAAGTTAACCCACAAAAGATATAAGCATATTACCAATGAGCAAAAAGAAAAAAAAATCTGAATTAATAAGTTAACTCCTCAAATGAGGTTCACCTGTCAAACCTAAAATTCACGTTATGAAAATTTACTAACTAAATAGGAAAAAAAATCAATAGGTCAAGCAAAAAAATTGATTAAAAAGAAAAAATAAAAAAAAATTCAAGTTAACTCGTCAAATCTGAGATTCATGTAATAAAAATTTGATAATTAAATAAAAAAATTTCATATTAACAAACTAAATTTAAGAAAAAAATTCATCAAAAGAAAAAAACACAAAGAAAAAAACAAAAAAAAACAATTACGAAAAAAAAAAAGTCAAGTGTTTCACTGTACACTATATCCACAGTGAAACACTATAGATAAAAAACAAAAGAAACAAAAGCAAAAATAAAAACAAAATCTACTGCTACAGTAAAAACCCACACGTTTTAGAGTATTCTATAATAATACTCTAAAAGGCTTCCCATGCCTTTTAATTATATTTATATATAATGCCTTTTAATTATATTTATATATAATAATAATATTATTATTATTATTATTATATTAATTTATAATTATATTATAATATTATTATTTTTATTTATTTTTTTTGTTTTTTGTCTTTGTAGATATGATTTTCAATTTATAATCCTATTGAAAATTTTTTTGTGTGTGATTTCAATTAAATAATAAGAGTTTATACTATACTTATTTGGCATATCATTAGTGAATCTTTTAATCTTGACATTTGTTGTTATCTTTGTTTAACCCT